TACAGTGTGGGACACTTAAAGACATCAATAAAATTAGTCATTCTTTAAAAGGTAAAGGATCTTCATATAATGATTATTTTTTGAAAAGAAGGCCGCTATTTTGTAGTAAATAGGTCTAGCTACAATATAGCGGCCCCTTTTTTAAAAAATAATCACTCATTTTTGACTAGATGTCATTCGAAAACTCCGTATTTTCATATGATCGATGACGAGTGGGACAAACAACGTGATCCGCAATCGACCCATCAAATTTGATTTGTCGATCACAAGTCACGTTTTATCTACGAACGTTATTTTATTGGTTGAATTTGGATAAGGTCACGAGATTTTTAATTTGTCGACGAATTCGAAAAGTGACAGTTGGCAAAAGAGGGAGGGGTTTTAAATTCTTTCCGTTGTTCTTCAAATTCCATCCACAATTTGCAAACTCACAAAAGAAACATTCTCGTTAGGAATACGCCATGATTGTCTATAAATAAAATACACTTATGAATTCACTCTTTTATCTCGTATAATTAAAATTATAATTAGATCACCCGATCACCCACCCACTTATTATAATGTTTGGTACAGATGTTTACTTCAAAATTGATATCCATTCCAACTGACACAGACACTTTCTATTTCTAAGTATAAATCATATCGATATTATCGTTTCACGTTAATTAAAATTCATATCGAATGTTTAGGGTCGACAAGTGTCAGTTTGTTTTATTTTTTTCAAAAAAATACAGTATCAGTATCAACAAATCGATATTGATTTAAAATGTACGCGTGTGACTAACTAAATACATGTACATGTATAGCGATAGAACTGTGTGTCTCAAACGAAGTAAATAAAGGTAAAATCACTATTTGATATTCCTTCTTATTAACCCCTCCCCCTTAATTCATTATTATTTTTTCTTTGATATCTTTAGATAAAATTAATAACGATAAGAATGAAGAGAAATCAATTCACGATTGTAGTGTTTGGACCATTCTGTAAATAGAACGACCTTTAGTATAGACATTAGTACTCAAAAATTGATGTATATAAAGGCACGCTCTTGAGCCTTAATCAAAAACAAGTTAAAATTAATAAAGTTCAAAGTAATTAAAAGAATTACCTCTTGCTTGTATTATTTGCTTCAGTTTTATTGTTTTTGCCAGAAGAAAGGCTTTGTGATACTTCGTTATTGAATCCCTTTGTAGTTTAGTTTAATCGCGTTAATTATAAAGTCATGATCGTTATTCTGACTTATGATCTTGTGAATGCTATTCTCGTTGAACTATATTGTTAAAAAGAAACTTTTATATAAATCTCCCTTTATTCACTGCATAATCCCCTTTACCCTTTTAAAATCAATCCTCTCTTTGATCTTTAAATCAACACTCACCTTTAACAGTAACCGTAGTTACTGGTACAATTCCTTTAGAAACCTATTAGAGAAACCCTCCTAATTCGAAGAAACATCAGCCTAATTCTCCCTCAGCGTGTTAACACTGTCCATCTTTGTGCCCCAATAGAACGAATACATATAACAATATGTACTCCCATTATTGTTACCTTTTTTTGGAAGAAGCGATTATACATGTATTCGCAAATCAACTGACCACGTTTGTATGTATGTACATGTATAGATAGCTCTATAATACTACGTTTTTTTTCATTACATTAGAATCAACATGCCCAAGAAGAAAAAATCTATTAAACTTCTTGAGCAATATAATAATAAAAGGCAGAAATTAACCCAGAAAAGAAGAGAGGAAAAAATTATTTCGGAAGGGGAAGGAGAAGCTATTTCGGAAGGGGAGGAATTTGAAGAGCAATTTTCAGACAGCGAATTTGATGATCAAGAGGAGGAAAATGAGAGAATCAATGAGGAAGAGGAGAAAATACGTACACGTCTACTCACCACGGCGCTCGTATGGAAGGAGCCAGAAAGAGAAAACACAAGGATAATAAAAGGAGTACCGAAAACCACCTATTATCGCAAGTTCGGTGCCTCTGGCATGCTTGCCACTGCTGCCAAGGAAACCCATAAAATTACCAATTTCTTTGGGCCCATGGCTGGATCTTCAACTTTGGTATCCTCAGCATCTTCAGGAGTTTCGAACAAATTGGATGATGAAATTATCCAACTTCGGGAAGATCTTTTGAAGAACGGACGGGTATTGACAGCCTTAGAGTATAATGAACGGCGAGCTGTCTATGAGTATCTTATGCGGCTGGATAATGACCATGGCAAGATGAAGGCAAGCCAGGAAACCGCAAATATGGTCTATATTTCTCCAAGACCACACAGAAGTAAAAGAATCCGCTCTGTAGCTAACTTTTACTTGAATCACAAATCATTCCCACTTTCCCATCGTGGCCAACACCAAAAATATAAACGACTTATTGATGATGAAGATATTGCACTGAAATGTCAGAAATGGATACGGCAGGAATCGGACTTAAACGGCATTAATTCATCTCAATTTAAGCAGTATGTTGATAATGTTATCTTACCCGAGTGTCTAGGAGAAACCAGGAAATCAATTAGCATTCGAACGGCAAGAAGATGGTTGAACATTTTGGGATGCCAATTCGAAGAATATCGAAAAGGGGTGTACTTCGATGGTCATGAACGGGAGGATGTCGTCGCATATCGAAGTAAATTTTTGGAAGAAATGAAGGATTTAGAACGACGAATGGCGAAGTATGAAGGAGAAACAATGGAACTGATTCCACCGGTGCTTGGAGCAGGTGAGCGAGAATTAATTCTTGTCACTCATGACGAGTGTATCTTTTATTCAAATGATGGAAAGAGAGGAATTTGGGTGTCAGATGGAAAGATGCCATTACGTAAGAAGGGGAACGGGAGATCGATTATGGTGAGCGAATTCCTTTCAGAGGCATGTGGTCGGCTACAATTAAGCGAAGAAGAAATCTATTCAAATATTCCCACAGAAGCACGCTGTTACCTTACGCCTGGTAAAAATCACGAAGGTTACTGGACGGTTGAAAATTTGCTGGAACAAATCAAAAATAAAGCTATTCCCATTTTCGAAACAAAATTCCCTGATGCAATAGCCGTCTTTGCCTTTGACAACAGTACGAATCACGCGGCATATGCAAAAAATGCTCTTGTGGTGGAAAGAATGAATCTAGGTCCCGGAGGAAAGCAACCTATAATGCGACCGACAACTTTTGTTAATACCGATGGACAACAAAAAAATCAGGAAATGGTGTTTGAGGAGGATTATCCTGATCCAGACATGCGAGGAAAGCCTAAAGGAATAAAAAGAGTGTTGGAGGAGAGAGGACTTTGGAAGGAAGGATTAAATTTGGATTGTCAGATGTGTAAAAATAGGAAACTGTCAGCAAATTCTGTAAGGATAGACTGCTGCTTGAGGAAGATTATAGCCTCTCAACCAGATTTCGTCGCCCAAAAGTCCGCTATTGTGGAGTTAATTGAAGGTGCCGGTCATATATGTATTTTCTATCCAAAGTTCCATTGTGAACTTAATTTTATCGAAATGTATTGGGGAGCAGCGAAGTACTATGCGAGAAATTACTGTGATTATACATGGACCGGATTGCAAGAAACTGTTCCACGAGCGCTCGATTCGGTAGACATTATCACAATTAGAAGATTCGCTCGAAAATCATGGCGCTATATGGAATTGTATCGTAAGGGTTTGACGGGAAAACTAGCAGAGTATGCATGCAAGAAATTCAAATCACATAGACGAATTCCTGAAAACGAATTAGTTTTATTTATAAAGGAAAATAATGATCTTACCAAGTAATATTAAAAATTCGTTGAATCCACAATTTTACAATCTTTTCGCTTCTGTATTATATTTTTTTTTATTCGTCAGGCCTAAAAGCCGCAATCATAAAGTCTTGCTCTTCGGGAATTTCCTTTTCTCGTAAAAATTTTTACATATTTTAGAATATTCTAGCACCTCATCATCGTCGTTGTCATAGTGGGAAAATGTAAGAGACTGATTGGGTTCTATCAGTCGATCTGATTAATTGGATTTTAAGTCACATGACATGTGACTGTTCTTAATTTGGCAAGTGGACAGAAATCGATTTTTTGG